CCCCTACTTCGAATTTTTCTGTTTTTTTTTTTTTTTTTCTATCTCCCTTTTGATTTATATTTTCTCTTTTTCCAAAAAATTGAATTATCTTCTTCCCCACCTTCTTTTCTCATTTTCTGATTTATTTCATTTATTTTTCTATTTATTCTGAAAATTCAATTTTCTTTACGGCAACCCTAAATCTGATTAGGTATTAGTCTTTCTTGCTTTCGGCACACGTTTTGACCCCGTGGGGGTAACAAAGTGCTGCCGAAATTTTCTGATTTTCTCTTACTTAGTCTTTTTCGGCACACTTCGACCCCATGGGGGTAACGAAATGCTGCCGAAATTTTTGACAAATCAAATACTTCATTTCTCCCCACCTCCTCATCCCCTTATTTACTTATTTATTTATTTATTTATTTATTTATTATTTATTTATTATTTTTTTTTAATTTCTTTTTATTTGCGGCATCTTGAAAGCTAGTGTGCTCACCTTGGTCTCCCCTTTCCCCTTGGCACATTCTTGACCCCATGGGGGGTAGGAAAATGTTGCTGAAAATTTCAAAAATATATATATATCGTCAAATAGAACTGCCCGGTAAACCGTAGGCAGAGAGGTAGAAGAGGACAACAAACGAGGGGCTGTGACAAACTGTTTCGTCGGAGTTTCACCGACTCATCAAGAGGCTGAACCCTCAACAGTCTGCAGAATCCCCTCACTGATTACACTGTAAATGATAATCTACCTTAACCAAAATCAAAGTAGACTATCACTCACCCACACCATATATATTTTTTTTTTCCTTTCACATTTTTTTTACTTATTCCTTTAATTATTTTTATTATTTATTTATTTCGTTATTTATTTTTATTTTTCTCTTGAAATCCTGCTGTTTATTTATTTTTCTCCCGCCTTCCCCCCCCCCTATGCTTGCTATTTTATTTTCTTGATTAGGTCACTGGCACCGTACCCTAACCACTCAAACTCCGGTTAGGGTTTTCTTAGGGTTTTTATAGGGTTTAGGGTTCTTCAAACCCCCCCTACTTCCCCGTCCTCTTCGGGCACCCTGGACCCGAACCACCCCTCCCCCTTTGACGGCGCCCGCGCCAGCCTTGCTAGCGCTGTCCGCCGCTTTCTATCGCGGACTTCCCCCTACGCCCTCCGCTTACGCGGACCTCCTCTGGCCCCCTCCAGTCCGGCCCGTCACCTCCCCATGGCCGACGGCGCATCACACGCTGCCGACGCGGCGACGACCACGGCACAGGGCTCCACACCCGTGCCGACGGACCAGCGCCACCAGCCCCAAGGGGATCTGCACACCCTCCTCACCTCCCTCTTTGCGCCCATCCAGGCGCAACTCGCAACCCTCGCGCCCTTACAGGCGCAGGTGGCGACTCTTACCGCCGGCATGCAGCTACTCCAGGACGCTGTGTGTCCTTCATCTCCTGGCTCCCAGTCCGGGTCCCCCGTCCTCCGACAGGGTGGCCACGGCGGAGCTTCCTCCTCCGCTGCCCCCGACCCGGCCATCTTGGTGACTGTCCACGCCCCTAGCACGACGGCCGCCATGAGCCTGGCCCTCCCTCAGTCTACGGGCGCACCCGCCCAGATTCCGGTCACGACGGCCACGGGACCACAACCCGCTACCATGGTCTCAGCGTTTCCGGGTGCCCCGTTCCTCCCCCCCCTTCCCACGACCGCAGCGCCACCTGGCTCTCCCCCCTCTGGGATGCCCCGTGCCGCTTGTGCGTCCACTTCCTCCACTCTTCCTCCTGCCACTCCTCGCTCGACCTACGTTCGAGGTCTCGCGGACGAGATTGCCCAGCTCCGGGCCGATCTCGCCCTCTTACGCCTTCATCCACCCCCACCCTCACAGGTGGCCGTGCCCTCGGGCGCACCCCCTACCTCCTCTACTCTTCCTCCCATGCAGGCTCGCTTCGCGCGCCCTGCACCCTATCCAGCCCCATCCTACCTTCTTCCTACTCCCACGGTTGTTGCTACCTCTTCTACCGCAACTCCCTCACAGCCTGCTGCAACTACCCCCGCCGCTCCCCCATGCGGCCCGGGCGCACAGTCAGCTGCGCCCCTCTCCAGGACCTGCGCCGACTTCCTCAGTCGTGGCACAGGCCTCTGCTCCTCGATCCCCTCGCCGCCAAAACGGTGGCGCACCACTCATCCGCTTGTCGGACATTGCCTTGTATGACGGTGCAGGCATACGCGTGTCTAGGTGGCTGCAGTCTGCCACCCGCACGCTCCAGCTCATTGGGGCCACACCCGACACGTGGGTGGGTCACCTCTCCACACACCTACGTGGCGGTCCTTTCGAGGCCTGGGAGGATTTCTACACGTACTCCCTTCGTGAGGGTCGGACCCTGACCTTCATGGATTTCCAGGCGTTCCTCGAGGATCGCTTCAGAGCCCGATACGACGTGACTGACGCCTTCGAGCGTGTCGTCGATACACGCTGGTCCGGCTCTGGTGGCGCTGCCGCTCTGGATCGCCACATCCAAGTCTTTCAGGACGCCCGCCTCACTTGTGACGTGGCGTTCCTCCATGAGGTTGCCCTTATCGATCGTTTCTTGGCCAGCCTTCCGCTCGAGTACCGCTCGGAGCTATGGCGGTACGAGTTCACATCGGCCCCGCAGGCTTACGAGGCCGCCAGGGACCATCAGCGGATGCGCGCTCGTCTTCACCCCGCCTCCTCCTCCCAGCCTCAGCGCACGGGCTACGCCTCCTCTTCCTCTCATGGCACTTCCCAGCGTCGTTCCCCTTTCCCCGGTCGCCCCCGCACTTTTCGCGCCGCTTCAGCGCGCTCGAGTATGGTGAGCAGAACGCTGGTGCCCCGCTATCGCCAGAGGGTGACCATAGCGACGACCTCGACCTTGGCGAGGCCGTCCAGCACCACCTGGAGGACCATACTCTCCCTATGGCTGAGCGCCTCCAGCTCATCCTCTCCACCCTTTCCCGCCGTTCCGCGCAGCAGGGCCGCCACTTCTCGCGCCGCTTCAGCACGCTCGAGTATGGTGAGCAGGACGTTGGTGCCCCGCTGTCGCCAGAGGGTGACCATATCGACGACCTCGACCTTGGCGAGGCCGTCCAGCACCACCTGGAGGACCCTACTCTCCCTATGGTTGAGCGCCTCCAGCTCATCCTCTCCACCCTTTCCCGGGCACCCAGTCGCCCTGGTCACGCTGGCGCGTCGCCCCCCGAGGTCCCTCAGCAGGACCTCCCTCAGGGCTTTGTCCCTCCTCGCGGTGTCCTTTCCGGTGAGGAACGCGCGACTATTTTGGGTCGACGTGGATGTTTGCGATGCCGTCCGGACGGTCATACCTCCTCGCGGTGCCCTTACACCACCGCCCTTGACCGCCACTACGCTGACCTTTCCCGCCAGCGTCGTGCTCAGTCCCCCCCCGGCGCCTCCTAGCCACAGTGCAATGTTCACCTGCGCCCTCCTCAGTAGTCGGCTTCCCGGCATCCCCGTCGCGGTTTGCCCCTCTCGCTACTGGAGTTGAGGTCTCGCAGGATCCGACAGAGTGTACTCAGCCCTCTGTCGCAGTACCGTCTGCGCCTCCGCAGACCACCGTCTCCCCTCCTTCCCCACCGCGACTACCGACGCGTCAAGCCATTCGCTCAGCCCGTTGCAGCGAGCAGCTTGCGACTCGTGAGTACATTGTGTCCTCTCTTCTGGACTTGAGCATGCTCCAGGCTCGTCAGGAGCGACTCACCCTCCATGTCGTTGCCCTGCGTCGCCTTCTCACCATCCTCTCTGACCCTGATCGCACCCTCCCGATCATCCCCGTAAGGCTGGGGACCTCCACGAGGGTGTACTCAGCGCTGTGGGATTCCGGTTCGCAGGGCGACTTCATTCACCCACGTCTGGTGAAAGAAGCCCGCTTACCCACGACCGGGTCTCCGACTCCCATCTCTGTCACCCTAGGGGATGACAAGACCCAGCGCTTCTTCGATCAGACGGCCACCGATCTCCCTTTCTTCCTCACTCTCGAGCCGACTGATCGTCCCTCGGCGTCTCGTCGCCACCGCTCCTCTGCACATTTCGATGTGATGGAGACGGGGTACGACTTCATTCTCGGCACTTCGTGGTCTCGTCGGTTCCGCAGCACCGAGGCCGATTGGGCGACCAACACTCTCGTTCTCAAAACGAAGTGTGGACAGACGTATCGCGTGCCTTTCATAGGTACCACTGCGACACCACGCCCCGATCCTCCTCCCTCGGAGCCTTCCGTGCCCACACCATCTCCTTCTATCACTGTCACTTCGCCTTAGCAGTTCGCCCACTTCATCCGACAGGATGATGTCACCTTCTTTATGGTGAACGTGAAGGATCTCTTACACTATGATCCACCCTGTCCCGACGTCGAGCTCATCCCTCTGGAGCCAGATCCTCCTTCTATCTCCATGGCTCCCATCTCCACATCCCAACCTCCGCCGTCCGTCGAGTCCACCCCCCCGTCGTGCGCTGACGCTGACGCTGAGGAACTCGCACGTTATACGGCTGACCTGGAGCCCGTCGTTCGTGACCTCATCCGAGAGTACCACGACGTCTTCCCATCGTCGTTCTCGTACGCCGGCATCCCACCGATGAGCGACGTCAAACACTCCATCCAGCTCGTGCCTGACTATCGAGTTCACCACCAGGCACCCTACAGACTCTCCATCCCCGAGGCCACTGAACTCGAGCGTCAGCTTGAGGAGCTCCTGAGACTGGGTTTCATTTAACCCAGCAACTCCCCGTGGGGTGCACCCGTCCTCTTTGCTCGCAAAGCGGATGGAACTCTCCGTCTTTGCATCGACTATCGCGTTCTCAACCGCTACACGGTTAAGAACAACTACCCCATGCCCCGTTCCGATGAGCTGTTCGACCGCCTAGCAGGCAACCGCTTCTTTACGAAGATTGATCTTCGTAGCGGTTACCATCAGATCCGCGTCGCTGCAGCCGACCAGCCGAAGACCGCGTTCTGATCGCGATTCGGCCACTACGAGTTCACGGTGATGCCATTCGGCCTCACCAACGCACCCGCTACCTTCCAGAGGGCGATGAACGACATCTTCAGGGACATCCTGGAGCAGTACGTTCTCGTCTACCTCGACGATATCCTGGTTTACAGTAGCACCCTTGAGGGGCACCTCAGACACCTCCGCGACGTCCTTGAACGCTTGCGCAGACATGGCTTCTACGCCAAGCTAAGCAAGTGCCGCTTTGCCCAGCACAAAGTGGATTTCTTAGGACACTACGTGTCTGACCAGGGTCTCCACATGGACGACGCGAAGATCACTGCTATTCACAGCTTCCTAGGCCTGACCAGCTATTATAATAACTTCATTTAGGGATACGCTCGGTATTCCTACGTCCTTACCTCCACCCTCCTCCGGAAGAACACACCCTGGGCTTGGACACCCCTCCACGAGGACGCCTTCCGCGCCCTCAAGAAGGCGGTGACATGCGCACCGGTTCTTCACCTACCCAATTTTGATCGCCCTTTTATCCTTACCATCGATGCGTCAGACTTTGCTGTAGGAGCAGTGCTTTCCCAGGGCTTCCCTTCCTCTCCTGATTCCTTGCATCCTCGTATCCCTCGCTTCCCACCACCTACCCCTACCACTGCTTCCCGACTGACGCCTACTCGTCCAGCCATTGACGAGCCTTCTATCGACTATTCCCCTACCATCGCCGAGGACGGCACTGTCGAGTCTCGCTCAGGTGATTGTCCGATAGCCTTCTACTCCCGTCAGCTCCTGCCCGCCGAGATAAACTACACTGCTGATGAACGTGAGGTTCTCGCAGTAGTTTATGTCGCTCGGCACTGGCGTCACTACCTGCACGGGGCACCGTTCACGGTGCGTACGGACAACTCTGTTGTCCAGGCTTTCCTGACAAAACCGAAGCTCACTCCTCGACAGGCTTCCTGGTGGCGCGACCTATCCGAGTTTAGTTTCACCACTGAGCACATCAAGGGTGAGACTAATCGGGTCGCCGATGCCTTATCCCGGCGCCCTGACCACGACCAGGAGCTGATCCAGCTCTCTTCCATCTCGGTCACCACCGTCCACCACTCGGTGACCGACGAGTTTCGCACTCAGTACCGCCACTCCCCCGACTATCGCGACATCCACGCGACCCTTCGGAGTGGCAAGACCGTCCCGAACTACTCTCTCGGGGACAACAATCTTGTGTACTGGCACGGTTCACAGGGCACCAGAGAGCCCCGTATTTGCGTTCCCTCCACTGGACAGCTACGTGTCCGAGCAGTAGCAGAGTTTCATGACCAGGCAGCCGCTGGTCATATGGGCTTCCACAAGACGTTGGCTCGTGTGAGCAGCCTGTACGTCTGGCCGAAGCGCAAGGACTTTGTGAAGGACTACGTCGCAGAGTGTCCCACCTGTCAGGAGGTGAACAGTGCGAACCACCTGCCTTATGGTTTGCTCCAGCCTCTTCCTATCCCTGAGGGTCGTTGGCAGTCCATCTCGATGGACTTTATCAGTCCTCTTCGACCTCAGACCCCCCGCGGTTATGATGCTATCATGGTCGTCGTCGACCGCTTCACAAAGCGTGCACGCTTTGTTCCGTGCCGCTATGCCATCAGTGCACGTGAGGTCGCCGACATCGTGTTTGACCGAGTCGTGCGTGAACACGACTTACCTCTGAGTATCATATCTGACCGTGACCCGTGCTTTACCAGCCGATTCTCGCGACGGCTCCACGAGGTGTACGGCACTCAGCTCCGCTTCTCCTCGTCTTACCATCCTTAGACTGATGGTCAGACCGAGGTCACAAACAGGACTCTCGGAGATATTCTCCGAAAGATCGTTCGTGACGACCAGCAGTGGGATCTCCATCTTGCCCACGCGGAGATAGCCTACAACCACGCYGTCTCGCCAGCCACGGGGATGTCGCCTTACTATTGCGACCTYTGCTATCACCCTCGTGTTCCCGCGGACTTCCTTCGACYGTCMCAGMTGCACCCCGACACGAGTTGTCCCGCGCTGGATGATTGGGTTGCACACATGACGTCGATCATGAAGACCGCACATGAGCACATAGCCGCTTCCCAGACTCGCATGGCAGCACGTGCGAACCGATCGAGAATGGATCATCCATTCAAAGTCGGTGATGATGTGCTTATCGACGCCCGCCACTTACAGCTCGACGCGGACACACTTCACAAGTTTCGGCGTCGCTTCTTTGGCCCATGCCGCATCCTCCAGGCCGTCGGTTCTGATACGGCTTCTAGCCCGGTCAGTTTCCGTGTGAAGTTGCCCGATTACCTACGCCAGGCTCGTGTGCACGATGTCTACCACGTCTCGTTACTGCGTCCTTACCGCAGACCGTCTGAGCGCTTCGCTGGACGACCATACGAGCGTCCTCCACCCATCATGGTGGATGGCCACGAGGAGTTTCTCGTTTCATACATCATTGGTCGTCGAGCCACCGACGACAACCCTCCCCACGTCGAGTATCTCGTACGTTGGAAGGGTTACCCTGATGAGGAGGTTACCTGGGAGGCCCTCGAGCACTTGCAGCACGCTCGCATGTTGGTGTGTGCCTATGACCGTGCTCGTCGTGCTGGGTTCACTGCTCCTCCTCAGCCCACTGACCCTCCTCCTTCTCCCCCGGCTGAGGAGACCGCTGAAGTCGAGCCTGCTCCATCTGAGGCTGACCTTCAGCAGCAGCCGGATGCTTTTGAGCGTCCACAGCGCACTCGTCGTTGTCCTGCTCAATACGACGATTGACTATGACTTACCTTCCCACGTCTTTGACTTCTCAGTACTCCATCCACTCCAGTTTTGCTACTTCAGCTCGTCGACGTTGCGGCTCTTCCTCGACGGCATTCCGGACTTCTCATCGTGGACGTCATCGGCAGCGTCATGGACTTCGTGACGATCAGCTCTGCCTACTTCAGACGTCGCCACTCTCTTACCACTTTACCCTGTACAGTACCCTTGTTGTGTCGCATGACGGTCTCCCTTTAGCCGGGTTCCTCTGAGTGGGCTCTCCCTTGGTATACGCATAGGCATCGGGACCGTAGCGTTGCCGTAGCTTCCCATCTTACGGATCTAGCCCCGACTTCCCCACCTTAGGAGTCATTTGCATGATTCCCTTACCCATCACCTTTCTACCCTCTGCCGGCCCTCACGCCCTGGTTAGGCAGCCCCGCATGCTTCATCTAGGTGCGCCCAGTATACCAGGCTCCCTTGTTCCCTTGCATGGTCGACCCTCCATAGCGGTCACCCTTTAGTCGAGCATTACCCGCCCTGATGGTCTATCTGTTAGGGTCATTGGTTCTGTTCGCTTCCAGTTCCCTACCCTCATTGAGCCTGATGACATGTGTTCTCCCTGTCACTATGTGTGGATGCCCTTAAAAGTTTTCGACCCCGAGGCTGCACTCGCCACCCTCAGAGACCATCCCACCCTTCGGTTTGCGACACACTTCTCCTGTGACATATAGTTGACTTCTTGTTGCTTGTTGCTCTCAGACTGAGGCTACTGCCTCTGACATTTCTAGGATTTAGTTGTTCTGCTTTTGCTGTTCTTAAGGCTTATACACTAGTCAGTTGTTCCCAGACTGAGGCTAGTGCCTCCAACATTCTAGGATCTAGTTGTCACTACTTTCTGCTTTCCTAGGACATGTATGCTAGTTAGTTGCTTCTGCTTTCCTAGGACATGTATGCTAGTTAGTTGCTTCTGCTTTTACTTAGGCTGTTAGCTGTGACATTGCTGTTTTGTGACATCTTATATCCTAGGTTGCATCACATGGACTCAGCATGGAGCTCACTCCGCATGCTAGACTACTTAGGTTTTCTTTTTCTTTGGTAGAGTTCCGCTTCTTGGCGGAAGCATGTTTGTATCTAGGCGATCCATCACAGGTCGAGGATCGTGTAGCGGACCTCTGGTTGGTTGGCCTGTGAGACCAGCCCCTTGGTCTGTTCTCACAGGCCTGTGTTCTATTCGGGGCAGTCCAGTCCAGGCCGGTACCTCTGTCGGTACCAGCCAGTCCAGTCCAGTCCCGTCAGTCCGCTGGGGTATACCCCAGCAGTTGTCTGTTTTGGAGATCATTCTTCACTTGCACATTTTTGGAGTATGTGCGTGGAGTCTCGCGTGGGAGCTGCGCTGTGCATCTTGCTCCCCCCCTTCTTCCTCCATCTCCGTCTCTATCATTAGCGGAGCACCACACCTGGTGGGTCCGCTACAGGAGGCTCTTTGCGCTGGGTAATCAGACGTGCAGAGGTACTGTATCTTCTGCTCTTTGTTTCTTTTTTCTTTCCTTCTTTTTTTTTTTAATACGAAAAATTGAACCACTTCTCGATTTTTGTGTGGCATCCTTGCACAGGGGCCATGCTAGTCTCCTCTGCATCTTTCCAATTTTAATGGACGTCCCGAAGGAAGGACGTACTGTATCTGCTTTACTCTGCTAGTTTGACCAGATACAGATCTTGCCAGGTGCAAGAGCTTGGCCCTATGCCGCATGTGGCAGCCAGCACCTACGAGAACGAAAGGTACGCTCCATACTACTACGTGCCTTGCTGCACTACCCGCCCAAATGTGCAAAATGAAAATGAATCTTCCGCTAGAACATGGGAAGATACACAGCCATATGTTTTGTCCTTTGTGAATGTGGTGAGTACTGGACCGAGGCCATACATATTCCCTACGCACATGGAGGCGATAATAAAAAAGGCCTAAAAGGTCTTCCTGCCCAGATTTGACAGGTATTAGTTAAAAAAAGGGAAAATTGCATCTGTACCCCAGTTAAAGATGGGAATACCCGCTATATACCCAGTCCCATTGCCAACTTGCACCTATACCCGGAAAACTGCCAGTGGAAATTATTTGCATGCCCAGGACTGAAGTGGACCCAGGTTAGTACCGCAAAATTGCAGTTATACCCAACTACCAGAATGCAGTTATACCCAACGCCTTTGACCCAGGTTAGTACCGCAAAATTGCAGTTATACCCAAATTATGGACATATCCAGGCAAACTTATGGGCATACCAGGGACTGACGAGAACCGGCCAAATTATGTATTACGCTCATACCCAGCACAGCCTCTGGGCCACAAGGGTCCACGTGGTGGGCGTGAGCATAAATTTTGTGGTCTGCCATCCAAGGCCCGCCCCTGGCTGAGGGTACGGCCGCAATTTTGCCAGCCCATTTATGGGCATGGGCATAATTTGGTTGCCTGGAACTAAGGGCCTGCGGGACTGGGTATGCCTACAATTTGGCACAGGGGAAAAGTCGGCTCCTATGCACAGTTGAACGGGGTCCGGACATGGATGCAAGTTGGGCGCTGGGACTGGGTATATGGCCGGTATTCCCATCTTTAAGTGGGGTACACATGCAATTTCCCCTCCCCCCTTCCCCCCCCCCTCTCCTTCCCCCCAAAAAAAAGAACGTGTTGTTGTATGGACCCAGAGGGCACAGCCATAATTTTTTTAATCGTGCCATGGTCGGAATGATGGATGGGGCTACATTGTTCGCTCAGGTTATCTCAGCAGTGATCTGTGCGGTAATCCGACCAGCTACATTGCTCGCAATGGTGCTGTGTTTGACAGCAAAGAATGGTCCAACAAACAGTCTGATGACTCTGATCTGATCAGAAATGAGATTTTCCAAGGCCCGCATCAGAAAGTCCATTCTCCTCGGTTGGAGAAGGAAGGTTCCAAAAAAAAAAAAAAAAAAAAAGAGAGAAGGAAGGTTCCAAAATTGAAGTACCAGAGACGCTGGCATGCGTGATGGTCCTAAAAACTTGGTGCCTGTTGAGTACTACACTGGCTAAAAAATACATGATCAAGTCAGACGCAGAAAAAAAAAAAAAAAAAAAAAAGCTTGCACTTAATTTCTGACAAGTGGCTGTTCAGTTAGTAGGTAGGTTGTAGGAGGTGTGGTTTGATGGGTTTTTTGCTGCAGTCTAATTGCATGGGTCCGACACCCCTTGAGCTTGAGTTCAAGTGCCAGCGGATACCGCCAGCACTCCAAGTGGGGCTTTTTTTTTTTGTTTATCTTTTTTTCCAGCCGATGATCCGGGTCCAGGATTGGTCAGCAGGCCCTGGAGTTCGGTTTCAAGGGTGCAGCCTGTTCTTCAAGGGTGTCCCCTCTAGTGTACATGGAACCATAAATCGAGTTACCTTAGTGTAAATGAATCACAATAATTTCTCGTTTAGTGTGCTTTTCATAAAAAAAATAATAATAAAATAATAATAATAATAATTCAAAAAAAAAAATCAAAAGATATTTAAAATTAAAATTAAAATTAAAAAAAAAAAAAAATTGAAACTCAAGTATTTTCAAGTGGTGTCGAACAAGGCTCTTAGTGCTAAAAATGTCGTCTCGTTTTTTTCTGATTTTTTGTTGTTTCTCATTGCAAGTGCCCTCCCTCTGTTCTCCTGTTCTTGGGTGTGTCTATTTTGTAGCTAAAACCTGCACTACCCACATCTTTTAGGGGTATTTAGCATATACGTAGCTTTCAGGGGTATTTCGCAAATTTCCCCTTTTCTCGTGTGATTTATAGTTTGTTTTTTTTTAATATGATTTTTACTTTTTTATTATAATTTTTTGGCTCGTCAGCAAGTAATGACAAGATGAGGACACATCCATATTTAGGTGCTACCGGTAGTTGTTGCTAATTTCTGCCTTTTCGTTTTAATTTCCAGGAAAATTGTTGAAATACCCCTCAAAGTTTGGGTCCTTGGTTAGATACCCCTAAAACACAGGTGTACCCTGAAATGGCCCAAATTCTGCACCTGCCCCTGTCACGCTCATTGGCAACTTCGCCATATGCCCTGGCACCGGGCTGCAGTCATTTCTTTTGCAATCTGCAGGGTCCAAAGGCCTAAAATACTGGGGCATATAGATGAGTTGCCCAGGGCCCGGTAGGGGTATACGCAAAAGATGACAGGTCCAATTGTCGAGTGGGGTATTTCATAAAGCTTCACTACTGTCATAGGGGCACTTCAGCATACTGATGCGTTTTTTAAGGGCTATCCGACGAAATGCCCAAACTTTCAGGGGCATTTCAACAACTTTCCCTTTATTTCCTGATCTATTTTTTTAATTCATGTAATTTAAAGGGCCTTCCTTATTTACTTGCCTTGGCATGCTTAAATGCATACCCCCACCACACTATGGCTTTTTTGGACGTCTCTGACCACAATTACGGCCAGATCCAGTCCAGAGAAAATCCTATTGTCAGTACAGCAGCCCTCGGTTTAGTTATTCCAGCCACGACACCAAGGATGAGATATGGCAACAGTGAAGGGCTCAGTTCCTTTTTCCGTGTTTTTTTTTGATTTTTTTTTTTTTTTCCCTTTTAACTACTTGAGGTATAGGATTTGAACTCATGCTCTGTTCCTCAACAGTGATATGCGTTTATCACCACATGCAGCCACAATGCAGCTATTCTCTCTCTCTCTCTCTCTCTCTCTCTCTCTCTCTCTCTCTCTCTCTCTCTCTCTCTC